ATAAATGCACTGTTGGTTAAGGGCTGTAAGTAAGCATTTCACTGTAATGTCTGCACCTGTTGTATTCGGCGCATGTGACCAATAACATTTGATTTGATTTGATTTGATTTGATTTGATTTGTTTCCGGCATGTGTCTGGCACCGTCTCCTATCTTAACTTAAATAACATATTCTGGACCTTCTGCCAAATAATCTAAAGGAGGAGGTCATGACGGCCCCTCATATCTCTACCAGGCACAGGCAGGAACCAAGGATTATTTATGACACCAAAGGCAAGATGCACAAAGTAAAATTTTCTTCACACACTCATTGTTGAAATTGCGATTTCCAACTTGTTGTGTAATGTTTATGTCCAATGGCCGATGAGCACTGATACGTTTTATCTATAATTTCTGTTAATTTAACAAGGATTGAAAAGGATTTGCCAGTAGATTGTCGACTTGATTCATGATGATGACTGCTTGTCTAGGTTGCTAGCTAAAATCTTGGAAGTATGATGTTGACATGATCAGGCCAATCAAAACTATGGTAGATATAACGTGATTTGACGTAATTTTATCTGTGGCCAATGACCTTGAGCCTTCTTGGATGGGCACTTCTAATGTAAATCTATGGCAGAAACTTTCTAGCTCTCCCTGTAGATTTTGCAGTGACGTAGTGTCCCAATGAGTGACAGAACACTGAGACAACCACGGCGCAACTAGAGAACATTACCAAAACCTACACTCTCTATTTTATACCACCACAGAAAGCATTGAGCTAGGCTGAAACACCTGCATTTTGGAGCTGCCTTACTCAAGATATGTGACATGTACACTTAGGTTTTCAACCACTCCACACATTTCTTGTTAACAAACTGTAGCGTTGGCAAGTCGGTTAGGACATCTACATTGTGCATGACACAAGTAATTTTTCCAACAATTGTTTCACTTATAATTCAGTGAATCACAATTCCAGTGGATCAGAAGTTTACATACACTAAGTTGACTGTGCCTTTAAACAGCTTGGAAAATTCCAGAAAAGTATGTCATGGCTTTAAAAGCTTCTGATAGGCTAATTGACATCATTTGAGTCAATTGGAGGTGTACCTGTGGATGTATTTCAAGGCCTACCTTCAAACTCACTGCCTCTTTTCTTGAAAAAAAATGGTAGACCTCCACAATTCTGGTTCATCCTTGGGAGCAATTTCCAAATACCTGAAGGTACCACGTTCATTTATACAAACAATAGTACGCAAGTATAAACACCATGGGACCACGCAGCCGTCATACCGCTCAGGAAGGAGACGCATTCTGTCTCCTAGAGATGAACGTACATTGGTGCGAAAAGTGCAAATCAATCCCAGAACAACAGCAAAGGACCTTGTGAAGATGCTGGTGGAAACAGGTACAAAAGTATCTATATCCACAGTAAAACAAGTCCTATATCGACATAACCTGAAAGGCCGCTCAGCAAGGAAGAAGCCACTGCTCCAAAACCGCCATAACAAAGACAGACTACGGTTTGCAACTGCACATGGGGACAAAGATCGTACTTTTTGGAGAAATGTCCTCTGGTCTGATGAAACAAAAATAGAACTGTTTGGCCATAATGACCATCGTTATGTTTGGAGGAAAAAGGGGGTGGCTTGCAAGCCGAAGAACACCATCCCAACCGTGAATCACGGGGGTGGCAGCATCATGCTGTGGGGGTGCTTTGCTGCAGGAGGGACTGGTGCACTTCACAAAATAGATGGCATCATGAGGAAGGAAAATTATGTGGATATATTGAAGCAACATCTCAAGACATCAGTCAGGAAGTTAAAGCTTGGTCGCAAATGGGTCTTCCAAATGGACAATGACCCCAACCATACTTCCAAAGTTGTGGCAAAATGGCTTAAGGACAACAAAGTCAAGGTATTGGAGTGGCCATCACAAAGCCCTGACCTCAATCTTAAAATAAAGTGGTGATCCTAACTGACCTAAAATAGGGAATTTTTATGAGGATTAAATGTCAGGAATTGTGAAAAACGGATTTTAAATGTATTTGGCTAAGGTGAATGTAAACTTCCAACTTCAACTATATTAATGCCAAAATAACATAGCTACATTTCTTTTATAATATACATTAAAAAATTGGGCTAAACAGGTGGGGCTCAAAACAGGTGGGGCTTTGCCACTGGTCAGTATATGTATTGTGCTTTCGGAGAGTATTCAGACTCCTTGACCTTTTCCAAATGTTGTTACTTTACAGCCTTATTCTAAAATTGATTAAATTGTTTTTTTCCCATCTCATCAATCTACACACAATACCCCAAATTGACAAAGCAAAAACAGGTTTTAATAAATATTTGCAAATGTATTAAAAATAAAAAAGCGGAAATATCACACTTACATAAGTATTCAGACACTTTAATCAGTACCCTGTTGAAGCACCTTTGGCTGCGATTACAGCCTCGCGTCTTCTTGGGTTTGACGCTACAAGCTTGGCACACCTGTATTTGGGGTGTTTCTCCCAGTCCTCTGCATATCCTCTCAAGCTCTGTCAGGTTGGATTGGGAAGGGTACCTGCACAGCTATTTTCAGGTCTCTCCAGAGATGTTCAGTCGGGTTCAAGTCCGGGCTCTGGCTGGGCCACTCAAGGACATTCAGAGACTTGTCCCGAAGCCACTCCTGTGTTGACTTGGCTGTGTGCTTAGGGTCATTACCCTTTTGGAAGGTGAACCTTCGCCCCAGTCTGAGGTCCTGAGCGCTCTGAAGCAGGTTTTCATCAAGGGTCTCTCTGTACTTTGCTCCGTTCATCTTTCCCTTGATCCTGACTAGTCTCCCAGTCCCTGCTGCTGAAAAACATCCCCACAGCATGATGCTACCACCACCATGCTTCACCGTAGGGATGGTGCCAGGTTTACTCCAGATGTGACACTTGGCATTCAGGCCAAAGAGTTCAATCTTTGTTTCATCATACCAGAGAATGTTGTTTCTCATGGTCTGAGAGTCCTTTAGGTGCCTTTTGGCAAACTCCAAGTGGGCTGTCATATTCCTTTTACTGAGGAGTGGCTTCCGTCTGGCCACTCTACCATAAAGGCCTGATTGGTGGAGTGTTGCAGAGATGGTTGTCCTTCTGGAAGGTTCTCCCATCTCCACAGAGAAACTATGGAGCTCCGTCAGAGTGACCATCGGGTTTTTGGTCACCTCCCTGACCAAAGCCCTTCAATCGGTTTGGCTGCCCGGCCAAACCGATTGCTCAGTTTGGCCGGGCAGCCAGCTCTAGGAAGGGACTTGGTGGTTCCAAACTTCTTCCATTTAAGAATGATGGAGGCCACCTCGACACAATTCTAGTCTCGGAGCTCTACGGACAATTCCTTCAACCTCATGGCTTGGTTTTTGAATTTTTTATTTACCACAGGTGGACTCCAATTAAGTTGTAGAAACATCTCAAGGATGATCAATGGAAACAGGATGCACCTGAGCTCAATTTCGAGTCTCATAGCAAAGGTCTGAATACTTATGTATATAAGGTATTTGTAAAAACCTGTTTTCGCTTCGTCATTATGGGGTAATGTGTGTAGATTGATGAGAAAAAAAACACATAAAAAATGTATTTAATCAATTTTAGAATAAGGCTGTAACGTAACAAAGTGTGGAAAAAAGTCTGAATACTTTCTGAATGCACTGTTATGGAAAGAGCATGTGTTCCTAATGTTTTACACCATGTATTATGGCTATATTCCCACTAATATTCCTTAATGTAATCACATTTTTACATGTGTATTTTTCTGTCTATATTATAATAATAATACTTAATTTGTAGAGCCCATTTCCACGCTCAATGCACATGTGAAGCTTGTTGGTGCATGCTTCTATGCACAAATCATTTGACCACTGCAGTTTGAGATCATTTATTCCCTTTTATTTATGAAAAGAAGCTGATACTGGCCTTTATTATTTTTCGATGTATTTATAATATTTTAGCTTAATTAAGTTGATTTATATTATTGAGTTTCTATTCTTAGAAAAATGAAAATAGATTTTACAGTAGCCTATGTATTGCCTACCTAAAACATCTGTTAATACATTTGAAGTCCTTAAAAATAGAAACTCCATATCTTAATGTTACAAAGTAGAATAAACTAGATATAGGCTATTGTGGTATGCTAAATAATTATAACAGAATATGCCTAATTAAAATAATCCTGATAAAATAAATGCTAGGCAGAGCATGCCCAGAGCTTGTGGCTGAGCAGAACCAGAGCAAAATTGGTGTGGGAGAGAAGGCCTGCTTTTGAATTACGCTCTGCTCCTCACTCCACACTCGCCCACTTACATGCTCTGGCATTCAAAAGCAGCCTTGCTTTAGGTTATCAAATAACTGTCAATGAATAATCATATCAATGGATGGAATCAGTGAATGAATGGTTGCAGAAACCATTACACGGTCTGACAATCTGCATAACAAATTAGGCCTAATTAGACAAAATAACAATTAAGTAGTTCAAAGGAGATAAGTAGTTCAAATGAGATACTAAGTCGTTTGAACTAGATAATTCCAAGAGTCTACTTTTTTTGTTGCCTTGGGCTTCAGGGCTTTTACACTTGTCCAGGTCTCCAGTCAGCCTATCATAGTCAATCATAACAGCATGTATGTAATGTAGGTATGCATGTATGTTCCTTCTACCTGTACAGTATACACAGTGAATGTAAAGGTGTGTGTTCAGTCTAATGAACAAACATGTCTGTCCTTCCTTTGATTACAACAGAGATGCTTTTTAAATTGTACAATAATACTGACGTCCACAATTGAAAGGAGAAAAGTACATTTATTATATCAGAATAATACATTTGTATATTTCATTAAATCATTTTAGTGACTGAGGTAGAAAATACTCCACATTTTTCTGAAACTTATTTTAATTTCCAACAGTTCTTTCAGTCTAAACAGTTATTTTACAGTAAATTGACAGAAGGTGGGATTATACACAAAGTATAGAAATTCTTGCTGTCTAAGTTGAGTTGCTTTTGAGGTTAAAATGCTTTTCCGGCCGGCTCCCTGCCATTGCGTTTTTTGCTGATAAAGCGACACCACAGGGCTGTAAGCAGGGATAGGACCACAAAGGCCAGCGCCACAGAAACGCCCACCCACTTCACCAACGACAGATTTCCGCTTTTCTGTCAATGAGGAATGACAATAATTAAATACAGGCCATACCAATACCCCAAGGCAAAAGGAAAAGCTTGAAGGCAAAAACACCTTCTCACAGATCCAATACTCTCTTAGCGGGTCTACAATGTTGTTGTTCATCACCTTTTCCCCTTGGATTCCCCTGAGCAGGGCGAAGCTGCTGAGATGGGTGCAGGAGCACACAGTGTGGGTGGAGTTGGAAATCACTGTGGCACAAGCCTGGCTTGACCACGCCCCCTCTCCATCCTCTGACCAATAAACACAGGTGCTCGCTTCACTGAACTGGGACACAGAGGAGATGAGACATATCTTATGAACAGCTAGGGTCTACTGCATGTGTCTGTTAAACAAATGTGTTATTTCTAATAAAACCTGTTTTAAAGGGAAAGTTCACTTTATTTTCGACTTCCCTGCGGTATTGTTGTTACCTCCAAACCGTTTTTAAATTTGTTAGCTGGTTATTAAGCAAAGTCCAGAAAAATCTGGCTAGCATTTTTGCATCTGTTAGTCCATACACATTTGATTAACTGTATAACGTATTACATTTCTTGAAAAGTGATGAAAGCGAGCAACAACAAAAAACACACATACACATACAAGTTCACATACACCTTAGCCAAATACAGTGGGGAAAAAAAGTATTTAGTCAGCCACCAATTGTGCAAGTTCTCCCACTTAAAATGATGAGAGAGGCCTGTAATTTTCATCATAGGTACATGTCAACTATGACAAACAAATTGAGAAAAGAAAATCCAGAAAATCACATTGTAGGATTTTTAATGAATTTATTTGCAAATTATGGTGGAAAATAAGTATTTGGTCACCTACAAACAAGCAAGATTTCTGGCTCTCACAGACCTGTAACTTTTTCTTTAAGAGGCTCCTCTGTCCTCCACTCGTTACCTGTATTAATGGCACCTGTTTGAACTTGTTATCAGTATAAAAGACACATGTCCACAACCTCAAACAGTCACACTCCAAACTCCACTATGGCCAAGACCAAAGAGCTGTCAAAGGACACCAGAAACAAAATTGTAGACCTGCACCAGGCTGGGAAGACTGAATCTGCAATAGGTAAGCAGCTTGGTTTGAAGAAATCAACCGTGGGAGCAATTATTAGGAAATGGAAGACATACAAGACCACTGATAATCTCCCTCGATCTGGGGCTCCACGCAAGATCTCACCACGTGGGGTCAAAATTATCACAAGAACGGTGAGCAAAAATCCCAGAACCACACAGGGGGACCTAGTGAATGACCTGCAGAGAGCTGGGACCAAAGTAACAAAGCCTACCATCAGTAACACACTACGCCGCCAGGGACTCAAATCCTGCAGTGAAAGACGTGTCCCCTTGCTTAAGCCAGTACATGTCCAGGCCCGTCTGAAGTTTGCTAGAGTGCATTTAGATGATCCAGAAGAGGATTGGGAGAATGTCATATGGTCAGATGAAACCAAAATATAACTTTTTGGTAAAAACTCAAACTCGTGTTTGGAGGACAAAGAATGCTGAGTTGCATCCAAAGAACACCATACCTACTGTGAAGCATGGGGGTGGAAACATCATGCTTTGGGGCTGTTTTTCTGCAAAGGGACCAGGACGACTGATCCGTGTAAAGGAAAGAATGAATGGGGCCATGAATCGTGAGATTTTGAGTGAAAACCTCCTTCTATCAGCAAGGGCATTGAAGATGAAACGTGGCTGGGTCTTTCAGCATGACAATGATCCCAAACACACCGCCCGGGCAACGAAGGAGTGGCTTCGTAAGAAGCATTTCAAGGTCCTGGAGTGGCCTAGCCAGTCTCCAGATCTCAATCCCATAGAAAATCTTTGGAGGGAGTTGAAAGTCTGTGTTGCCCAGTGACAGCCCCAAAACATCACTGCTCTAGAGGAGATCTGCATGGAGGAATGGGCCAAAATACCAGCAACAGTGTGTGAAAACCTTGTGAAGACTTACAGAAAACGTTTGACCTGTGTCATTGCCAACAAAGGGTATATAACAAAGTATTGAGAAACTTTTGTTATTGACCAAATACTTATTTTCCACCATAATTTGCAAATAAATTCATAAAAAATCCTACAATATGATTTTCTGGAATTTTCTTTCTCATTTTGTCTGTCATAGTTGACGTGTACCTATGATGAAAATGACAGGCCTCTCTCATCTTTTTAAGTGGGAGAACTTGCACAATTGGTGGCTGACTAAATACTTTTTTTCCCCACTGTACATTTCAACTCAAGTTTTTCACAATTGCTGACATTTCATCCTAGTAAAAATTCCCTGTCTTAGGTCAGTTAGGATCACCAATTTATTTTAAGAATGTGAAATAATAGTAGAGAGTGATTTATTTCAGCTTTTATTTCTTTCATCACATTCCCAGTGGGTCAGAAGTTTACATACACTCAATTAGTATTTGGTAGCATTGCCTTTAAATTGTTTAACTTGGGTCAAACATTTCGGGTAGCTTCCCACAATAAGTTGGATGACGCTGTGCCTGCTGTGATTGGTCGACATTTCCACAACGCAGTGGACCGCTCACGTTCCTTGACCCTCCCCCACATCAGCGTTTAGACGTCAATGTCATCACTCTGCAAAACGCCTGTCGCCCAGTCAGTCTGCAGCATAGCACAGAGCAAATATGGATATTCCAAAAGAGAGAGTTGAGGCAGCAGTGAATGAGGTGGAGGGCAGAATAGCCAGAAAGTCAAAGTGCAGCAGCATAGTTCGCCACAGGTTTGTGCAGGGTTGGTGGTAGCTAACTACCTAGTCTCCCTCAGCATAAGGGTTTGCTAATGCTAATAAGGTAGCGTTAGTGCTCAGCGTCCTTAAGCTATTGGGTGTCAGTCAGAATTATTTAAAAGTATATTTAGAGAATGGGCAAGCGAAGGATGTTGATATACTGTAAGTATTACTGTATTATTATTATTATTACTGTAAGTCATAATATTAGGAAAAGTATTTATTTCCAGTGAGTATTTTTGATGGGTTTTGTTTCTGTAGCTAACGTTAACAACTGGCTGACTTAGCTAGCTGATACCAAAGAGATGAGAGAAAGTTTTTCTGATTTAACACATCTTCTGACAGTGACACAGTGCTCCCTGTGGACTGAAGCTGAACTTCACTACAACATTATATCTAACCCTGTTTAAAATGAGCAAAATTGAGGTGGTAGAACTGACAAAATGAAATGAATCATAGAGATCTTACAACCTATTCAATTCTACAGATAAACATGCTTGGCTCATGTCTGTTATTTCCAGAAGGCTATTTAACTATTTGTAAAAAATAATTATTACATTGGTAAAATTATTTAATTGAGCTTTTATTTATCTTTTTATTCACTTAGCTACTTACTTTTTCTATTGTTGTTGCATTGTTGAGAGATTAACCTGCAAGTGAGCATTTCATTGCACTGTGAACTCCATGTATACACTACATGACCAAAGGTATGTGGACACCTGCTCGTCGAACATCTCATTCCAAAATCATGGGCATTAATATGGAGTTGGTCTCCCCTTTACTGCTATAACAGCCTCCACTCTTCTGGGAAGGCTTTCCACTAGATGTTGGAACATTGCTGCGGGGACTTGCTTCCATTCAGCCACAAGAGCATTAGTGAGGTCAGGCACTGATGTTGGGCGATTAGGCCTGGCTCGCAGTCGGCGTTGCAATTCATCTCAAAGGTGTTTGTTGGGGTTGAGGTCAGGGCTCTGTGCAGGCCAGTCAAGTTCTTCCACACTGATCTTGACAAACCATTTCTGTATGGACCTCGCTTTGTGCAGAGAACGCGTTTCCACTGCTCCAGAGTCGAATGGCAGCGAGCTTTACACAACTCCAGCCGACGCTTGGCATTGTGCATGGCTGCTCGGCCATGGAATCACATTTCATGAAGCTCCTGACGAACAGTTATTTTGCAGACATTGCTTCCCGAGGCAGTTTGGAACTCGGTAGTGAGTTTTGCAACCGAGGACAGACGATTTTTACGCCCTACGCGCTTCAGTACTCGGCGATGCCGTTCTGTGAGTTCTGGTTGCTTGTAGATGTTTCCACTTCGCAATAACAACACTTACAATTGACCAGGGCAGCTCTAGCAGGGCAGACATTTGATGAACTGACTTTCTGGAAAGGTGGCATCCTATGACGGTGCCACGTTTAAAGTCACTGAGCTCTTCAGTAAGGCCATTCTACTGACAATGTTTGTCTATGGAGATTGCATGGCTGTGTGCTCGATTTTATACACCTCTCAGCAATGGGTGTGGCTGAAATAGCCGAATCCACTAATTTGAAGGGGTGTCCACATACGTTTGTATATATAGTGTATAATGTGTACATGACAAATAAACAAACTTGAACTTAAACTTAGAAGATGGCCAGCTTTGTGGTTAGATTGTAGGTGAACAAAACATTGAAAATACATAGGCGGTTAAGTTATCTGACCTCAAATGTTATGTAATTTAAAAATCTCATATTAGCTGGTAGAACTGACAAAATTAAATACATCAGAGGTATTATAACTTCTTCTATTCTACAGGTATTTCTTTTTTTTACCCATTTCTCTTTATTTTCATATGGCCTAGGGGCTATTTAGCTTTATCTGTCATGTTTGGAGTTGTTATGCTGTTATGCGGACACTTGAATTTTTCTTTGCAGTTGAGTTGCCCTGGTCGTGTCAGTGTACAGTAACTTTAAAGAGTAAATGCCCCTAAAAACCAACTTCTCATTTAGAAAACAGACTATGTGGCATCGATATGAGTCAGAAACATTTATCTACTGTCAAAATTTACTACAAAGTGTAAATAGGATAATTTTGGTCATAAAGTCAGTCTTGTCCAAAACTGATTTTTGTGAGATGTGGTCATGAAAGTATCACAAAGTAAATGAAGGTAGGGTTTGTTTCAATCCTGCTCACAGCTGGCAGAACACAAGTAATCATCAATTCGGAGTGCAGCTGCACGCCACCTGATTGTAATGCCTGTGGTAAATTTCAGGTAGACTTTGGATATCAAATCAAATTTTATTTGTCACATACACGTGTTTAGCAGATGTTATAGTGGGTGTAGCGAAATGCTTGTGGATATACCTATGGGGCTAGTTTGGGACCATCGGTACATTACACAAATACATGGGACAATATGTTAAAATTCCAATAGCTCCCAATTTCAATGACTTAAAAACCTCAAACCAAATATATATTGTAGAAATTCCTATACAAATATTGAAAGAATTTCATTAGAAAACTAAAAGGTGTGCAACATGAAAATAATGTCTCATTTACATACTGTAATTTATTGACGGTCCCAAACTAGCCCTGGAGATAGGCTATCCAAAGTCAGTCAAGCCGCACACTAGCCGTCTGAAGCTAATTGGCTAAATAATTTGTCTAACTCTTCCCACCTGCGAACACATACACGAGGCACCCACATCAAACCACACCCCGAAATCATCTCACGTTTGAATTCAGTCATGGCCACTATCATTTCTTAAGGAACCAAATCTAAAACAAGGCAAAATCAGGAAGTTGCCCTTTAAAACTAACTAATGACACGTTGTACCTCTACCTTGTTACCTGGCAGATTAGCCAAGCAGGAGGACAGATGAGAACAGCAGGCCAGTGGAGCACTTAGAACAGCAGCAGCCAGGGGCAACTGGTAGGAAACAGTATAATTTAGGTGACACAGACACAGGCCCAAAACAAGTTAAGCTACCCCACTATCCCCTTGAACGTTTTGGTCTGCAAAACTTAAGGAACACACCAGACAAGACACAGAGACAGCAACAGAAGAGTAAATGATGGAGAAAGACACCAGACAAGACACAGAGACAGCAACAGAAGAATATGATATGATGGAGAGAGACACACCAGACAATACACAGAGACAGCAACAGAAGAATAGGTAATGGTGAGAGACACCAGACAAGACACAAAGACAGCAACAGAAGAATAGGATATGATGGAGAGAGACACCAGAAGAACATAACAGACCATAACAGAAGAGGATAGACTAAGGAGACAGTAACAAACTAGAACTTGAGACAGCAACAGACAAGACAGAGAAAGTAACAGGAGAGGGCAGATGGAGAGAGAACAGAGCACACAGTAGACTATCACTTCAAGCTGCTCTATAGATTCTAATTAGTTGTATTTATACTGAACCAAAATATAAACGCAACAATTAACGATTTTACTGAGTTACAGTTCATATAAGGAAATCAGTCAATTGAAATAAATAAATTAGGCCCTAATTTCACATGACTGGGCAGGGGCGCAGCCATGGGTGGGCCTATGCCACTGGGGAGCCAGAGACAGCCAATCAGAATTCGTTTTTCCCCACAAAAGGGCTTTAATACTCCTCAGTTTCATCAGCTGGCGGGGTGGCTGGTCTCAGACAATCCCGCAGGTGAAGAAGCCGGATGCGGAGGTCCTGGGCTGGCGTGATTACAAGTGGTCTGCAGTTGTGAGGCTGGTTGGACGTACTGCTAAATTCTCTAAAACGACGTTGGAGGCGGCTTATAGTAGAGAAATACACATTCAATTATCTGGCAACAGCTCTGGTGGACATTCCTGCAGTCAGCATGCCAATTGCACACTCCCACAACACTTGAGACATCTGTGGCATTGTGTTGTGTGACAAAACTGCATATTTTAGAGTGGCCTTTTATTGGTGCACCTGTGTTATGATCATGCTGTTTAATCAGCTTCTTGATATGCCACACCTGTCAGGTGGATGGATTATCTTGGCAAATGAGAAATGCTCACTAAAAGGAATGTAAACAAAGTTGTCCACCAAATTTGAGAGAAATACCCTTTTAATGTGTATGGAACATTTCAGGGATCTTTTATTTCAGCTCATGAAACATGGGACCAGCACTTTACATGTTGTGTTTATATTTTTGTTCAGTATATTTTCAAAAATTATAAAAGGTGAAATACAGACAGTGAAAACGTAAAACGTAGTTTACAAATAATTTGCAGGTGAGGGGAAAAAGCCTGTGAAATTACTATTAAAACAATTGTTTACTTTTACACTTTTTACAACCAGGACAGGACGAAGGTAAACAAGAGACAGTAACATATAAGACTAAGAGACAGCAACAGAAGAGGGCAGACGAGACAGCAACAGACAACATAGCACAAGCGATGGAGAGGCAGAGGAGGGGTGAGCACACAATAGACTGTATCACTTAAAGCTGCTCTATGGATTTTAATTACGAGAGAGAGAGAGAGAGAGAGAGAGAGAGAGAGAGAGAGAGAGAGAGAGAGAGAGAGAGAGAGAGAGAGAGAGAGAGAGAGAGAGAGAGAGAGAGAGAGAGAGAGAGAGAGAGAGAGAGAGAGAGAGAGAGAGAGAGAGAGAGAGAGAGGTGTTTGGGTATTTACCTGAAAAATATTTAATCTCTCATTGTTCTAATCTCTCAATGTTCATCTCAGAGTGCACCAAATTCATGCTATTCCTTTTTGTTTTTTTGCGCCGGGGTAGAATGCCCCCAGACCGCCCTACTGGCTTTGGGCTAAGCCCCTAATGAATTCAAATCTGCTAGCCAGTAGATTCTGGGTGTTGCTAAATAACCAGCTAACAAATTTTAAAATGGTTTGGAGGAAACAACCACACACTAGGGAAGTCAAAGGTAAGCTAAAAGTAAAAGATGTGAACTATCACTTTAAATGACAGTCAGCCTTTTTGTTACCATGTGATTGAAGGTGAGAATGATAGGTTCAGACAGATTTGTTGTGTTGGGGTTGCTAACGAATGCAGTCACCACTCTGGAGGAGAGCACCTCAGAGCTTTTGGTAAAAGTCAGCAGACTCTTGTAGCTGAGCAGAACGGCAAAACCAAACCCTGCAAACAACATCATACAAAACCTATACACTTAAAACATACAGAAACACAAACAATATAAAACAAAACCAATACACAAATCATGTAGTATACAAACCCATCACCCTACAACATAAAACACAAACGGTACACATATGATGCCCATAAAATAAGCCTTGCACAAAACAGAACCACAGCCTATGCACAAATCATACAGTTGAAGTCGGAAGTTTACATACACTTAGGATGGAGTCATTAAAACTTGTTTTTCAACCACTCCACAAATTTCTTTTTAACAAACTATCGTTTTGGCAAGTCGGTTAGGACATCTACTTTGTGCATGACACAAGTCATTTTTCCAACAATTGTTTACAGACAGATTATTTCACTTATAATTCACTGTATACAAAAGTATCTATATCCACAGTAAAACGAGTCCTATATCGACATAATCTGAAAGGCCGCTCAGCAAGGAAGAAGCCACTGCTCCAAAACCGCCATAAAAAGGCCAGACTACGGTTTGCAACTGCACATGGGGACAAAGATTGTACTTTTTGGAGAAATCCTCTGGTCTGATGAAACAAAAATATAACTGTTTGGCCATAATGAGCATCGTTATGTTTGGAGGAAAAAGGGGGTCGCTTGCAAGCCGAAGAACAGGCAGCATCATGCTGTGGGGGTGCTTTGCTGCAGGCGGGACTGGTGCACTTCACAAAATAGATGGCATCAAGAGGAAGGAAAATTATGTGGATATATTGAAGCAACATCTCAAGACATCAGTCAGGAAGTTAAAGCTTGGGTCTTCCAAATGGACAATGATCCCAAGCATACTTCCAAAGTTGTGGCAAAATGGCTTAAGGACAACAAAGTCAAGGTATTGGAATGGCCATCACAAAGCCCTGACCTCAATCTTATAGAAAAAATGTGGACAGAACTGAAAAAGCGTGTGCGAGCAAGGAGGCCTACAAACCTGACTCTGTTACACCATCTCTGTCAGGAGGAATGGGCCAAAATTCACCCAATTTATTGTGGGAAGCTTGTGGAAGGCTACCCAAAATGTTTGACCCAATTTAAACAATTTAAAGGCAATGCTACCAAATACTAATTGAGTGTATGTAAACCTCTGATACCAAATACTAATTGAGTGTATGTAAACTTCTGATACCAAATACTAATTGAGTGTATGTAAACTTCTGACCCACTGGGAATGTGATGAAAGAAATAAAAGCTGAAATAAATCATTCTCTCTACTATTATTCTGACATTTCACATTCTTAAAATAAAGTGGTGATCCTAACTGATCTAAGACAGGGAATTTCTACTAGGATTAAATGTCAGGAATTGTGAAAAACTTGAGTTTAAATGTATTTGGCTAAGGTGTATGTAAACTTCCGACTTCAACTGTACATGATACAAAATACATAATAACCTTAGAAATGTCTGTAAATACTTAGAAACTCCCAATTACTTTGTCTCTATAATAATAATTTGAGAAGCCTAATGCTATTGCAGCTGAGTGGGACTGTACCTGCATAATTCCTGTCCAATCCGATCACCGTCTCCCAGGTGGTGTCAAGTTGGATTTTCTCATTGGTTAGTCTGACTGGTCCTCGGGGAGGAGTCCTGTCCCTCCTCACCACAATCTCCACCTCTGTTTTTCAACATAGGGACAAAAATCCAAAAATCTATACTGACTAGAAATCAGCATTATTGAAAGAACAAGTGGTCACTTAGGGGTCAATATGTGTTCAGTGTAAGGTTAACTTGTGGTACCTGTGATGTTAATGATCAGTAAATGTGTGTTCAGTATGAATGTTACCTGTGTGGTTTGTATTTATCCTGCTCACGTTCCCTTCCAGCTGTGGAGCGATCAGTCTGATAACTTTTTCAACTGTCCTCAGTAGCGTATTCACTTTACTGCTGTTACCACCGTGACCATTGGACTGGAGTTGAAGAACATCAATGACATTGGCCAGTACCTTTAGAGACGACAGAGACGTGATATGATGTGATGCAACGTGTGTGTGTGTGTGTGTGTGTGTGTGGCTCAGGGTGGCAACTTACTTCCAAAATCTCTCCAGTCTTTGGGTTGGCTGGAGCTACAGAAGAGTTACTCAACACCATACAGTTGTTTCTCACAAGAGACAAGAGGCTGTCAAAACCTGGTAGAGTCTGAGTGAGAGAAAGAGAGTATACAGAGAGGAAGAAAATGGAAAACAATCTCAAAACCTCAAGATGAAGATAAGTAATTTTCAGAGAATAATCATTTAAAAAGAGGAAAAATTTACCTGTTCGGGTGTACTCTGAGTTGTATATGGTTCACAATTCAGCACTATAGGAAAAACATGAATGCAAATTATCTTAGTTCCTACAATACAACAACACAATGTATCAGGCCTGTCATCGTGATTGTGAAACTGGTAATTGGTAGGCTGGGTGGAGGTTTCAACAGATGGCACAGCAGAAATGAAATACGTAGAACGGATCCTCCCGGCTGAGAAATGTTGTAAAAATAAACAATATTGAAGAATCCACAAGTTCTGTATGTCCATTTGAGGAATTCCAAATCTGAGTTTGGGGAAGTAGCCTATGATGTTTGCAAGCACCGACCTTTCAGTTGAAACTTGCGTAACAATCAACATGTGTGAGCTCTGTTTCAACTTCTCCCTTAATTTTGTTATACAGATGGCGACTTGGGAGAAATATGTGCGAGATGGAATCTTTTATCTCCTGTCCAGCTTGTTTATCATCTTCTTGAAGCCGTCTTTGCGGACTGTGTAAATAGGAATCATGTCTTTGGTTATGTGATAGATAGGTGATTGCCTCTGTGATGTATGTGTCTGTGGGATGTTTTTTCGTAGGTCGTTACACTTGAAAACGTATCTGCCAGGGAGGTGGCTGGATATGGCTGAGAGGCTTTGCAGCTGTCAGGCGCTTTTTTCACCATGCAATCATTGTAAAGTAGGGGATGGTTCTTCTTCAAATGATCGAATAAATGTGTCGTGTTTCCTCTTGTTTTCACCACAACTGTAAGGCACTTTTTGCACAACACTTGCATTTGGTTAACATCGGTTTGCCTGTAGCATAGATGAAATTGTCACAAGGGATGACGGGCCGCCCCCAGGTGGTGAGGGTAGGCAACAACCCATCCGCCATGCTGACCCTCAACACGGGGGACCCTCCTGTACTCCCTGTTCACCCATGACTGCGTGGCCACGCACGACTCCAACGCCATCATTAAGTATGTCGACGACACGACGGTGGTAGACCTGATCACCGACGACGATGAGACAGCCTATAGGGAGGAAGTCAGAGACCTGGCAGTGTGGTGCCAGGACAACCTCCTCTCCCTCAATGTCAGCAAGACAAAGGAGCTGATCGTGGACTACAGGAAACGGAGGGCCAAGCACTGCCCCATTCACATTGACAGGGCTGTAGTGGAACGGGTCGAGAGCTTCAAGCTCCTCTGTGTCCACATCACTAAGGACCTATCATGGTCCAAACACACCAACACAGTTGTGAAGAGGGCACGACAGCACCTCTTCCCCCTCAGGAGGCTGAAAAGATTTGGCCCTCAGATCTTCAAAAAGTTATACAGCTACACCATTGAGATCATCTTGACTGGCTAGTCAATCTATCTATCCTGATTGCCTAGTCACTTTTAACATATTACCTCAACTACCTCGTACCCCTGTACATTGACTCGGTACCGGTACTGCTTGTATATAGCCTCCTTATCGTTATTGTATTGTGTTCCTATTTCCTTAATTTTTTTTGGTACATTTTAACTCTGCATTGTTGGGAAAGGGCTCGTAAGTAAGCAGTTCACCATAAAGTCTACACCTGTTGTATTCGGCGCATATGACAAATAAAATGTGATGATTTGACATCCTAGAATTGAACCCAGGTTGACACTGACAGCAGTAGCTACCAATGGTTTGATTTGATTTGATGTTGAAGCAAGTTGAATGGTTCCCACAGATGGAGGGACCTTCCACACACTCATCTTTATCTACATAACAATGACTAAATATGTATTTGAAGTTAGGACAGATCTTAGGTATTAGTCAGTTAGTTGGCTAACTTGAAATGAGTGAGAATAGAGAATTGTTTCAGCTAATGAACAGTGAATGTGTTATTTTAGTCAGCATCACTGTAACCTCACTGTCACCTCTTGGTGAATTCTTAACATCATATCCTAGATGTGAGCCTGTTAAAGGCACCAGTTAGGTTCAAACAGATAGAGATTAAAGAAAATAATCCCTGCCATCTACATACAGTGATCTTTTTCATCACCAGGGTAAATTTACATTTTAGTCATTTAGCAGGCGCTCTTATCCAGAGCGACTTACAGTTAGTGAGTGCATACATTTTTCATACTGGCCCCCCGTGGGAAACGAACCCATAACCCTGGCGTTGCAAGCGCCATGCTCTACCAACTGAGCTACACAGGGCCCCGTTAAGTTGAGCTTACCAGAACATCCACTTCCAATCTTATCAATCTTATACCCTGTTTGACAGAGTGGAGGACTCCTCCCTTCCAAAGGTGGGGCCAGGTAGAGACCTGTAGAAAAAAATAGCAGGAATATCAGACAGATAAACATATAATGCCTCTATATGTACAGGTAACTACCTAAATAAAGGAAACACCAACATAAAGTGTCTGAATAAGGCGTTGGGCCATCACGAACCAGAACAGCTTCAATGCACCTTGGCATAGATTCTACAAGTGTCTGGAACTCTATTGGAGGGAAGCGACATCATTCTACCACAATAAATTCCATAATTTGGTGTTTTGTTGGGGGTAGAAAATGCAGTCTCAGTCGCAACTCCAGAATCTCCCATAAGTGTTCAATGGGGTTGAGATTTGGTGACTGAGACGGCCATGGCATATGGATTATATCTTTTTCATGCTCATCAAATAATTCAGTGACCACTCCGTGCCCTGTGGATGGGGCCATTGTCATCCTATGGGGGCAAAGCCATCGTAGCCAAAATAATGGCCTGCCCAGCATTTTTATACATGACCTTGTTAATTGCTTAATTAACTCAGGAACCACACGTGTGGAAGCACCTGCTTTCAGTATACTTTGTATCCCTGATTTACTCAAGTGTTTCCATTATTTTGGCAGTTACCTGTACATTAGACCAATACATTAATGCCCCTGGACACACACTGTCACAATCGTCTACCAGAGAGGAGGACCAAGGTGCAGCGTTGAATGCGAACATTTTATTATATCAAGATGATCACACGATCAAAACAACAAAAACGAAACGTGACGTCCCTGGTTACATAAACCAAACAACACGGAACAAAAACCCACAAACACAAAGTGAAAACCAGACAGTTTAAATATGGCTCCCAATCAGAGACAACCAGCCAACAGCTGAACTCGTTGCCTCTGATTGGGAGTCACTCAGGCAAACATAGAAAATAAACACATAGAATGAACACACCCTGGCTCAACAAATAGAGTCCCAGAGCCAGGGTGTGACACACACTGTCAAATCACAATCTCTTTCTCTGACTCCCTCATCTTTATTCCAGGCACACAAAAAAAACTCTTACAGTTGAAAACTTAAATTAAAGACCCTCCAGTAACATGGGAAGTAAGATGACTCACCAAGTATCCAGTAGCATAAATTGACTCCCATTTCAAAGGCAGTTTGTTTGTCGATTAAGTGTGTGCGCGCTTGTGTACCTGACAGAGTATTCCATCGTCTACTTCTCCTTTTTATTTCCTTTCTCAATACCTTCCTCTGAAGAGATTTCATCTTGAAGTAAAAAAGGGAAGTCCCTGTAGCAGCTCTTCTCATCATAACCTCCACCTTCTCATTTACAGTGATGGGGAAAGAGCTAACGGGTTAGAAAGCCAGTCAAAGAAATCACAATTACAAATATTAAGAGCTTTAGAGAGTGTCACCCTACTTAAGGAATACAAAAATCCGAAACTTCAGAGGCATTCTTCTCTCTTTTTCTTCTTACAATACAAAAACCCAACCTGCAAAACTATGCATCAGTCTCAAACCTTGTTGTGTAATCACCACACATTCAATACACACAGACATCATGGGGGAAATGACAAAACAAGCACATTGAGACACAAATTAGGGTTTAACTTTAGGGACAAATCTAGTATTTATTGAAAAAATATTCAAGTGTCGAACATTGATGGACAAAACATTTTAGTGCATAATTTATAGACTGACTGACAGTATTGGCTGATGGACCTATTATGATTAAAATATATAAAATGGGAAACAAAATCACTCCCATAGAGTATAAAACCACTGAACAGAAAAAGGAGGTTCCCATATAAATAAAATTAAAATATTTTCTTCAAATATAGTCATTCACAGGACTGATCAAATCCCCTGCCTTAAATGTACTTCAGTAAACTTGTAAACAATTGATACATTATTTAGTTTCCTTTGTCAGTTGAGCTGAGGCACTTGCTTGTGTGAATATTGAGGACTTTTAACCTAGGACCAATCGAGGGTTGATGGAGACATAGGAGAGTAGTGTTTCAGGAAGCCTACATTACTGCCGCCGTCCACCACCTCATGCCATTCTAAAAATCCAAGGAACAATGGTGAAAGCTTGGGTCTATACAGTAGATCACAGCCCACGTGATTGTCCTCTAATAATATAGTTCAGTCTACTACTGTATAGTGGTCTATAGGCCTTGCACCTCGCACAGCAGGATCTCGTTGTAGGCGACGGTGAAGAGGAGTTTCCCTGAGGGGGAGAAGCGACAGGTCTGCAGAGTCACTGTGGTGGAGGAAGTCCTGGAACCTACCGCTAGACGATTTGATAAGCTTCAGCACTCGCTCTGAGAGAGACAAAACGCACAGCAGCTTGATGCATCCTATTTACATACATACAGAATGTAAAATTACGTACAGTACTGCGCAGAGAGACTTGTTTGATGCCGTTTGGTCAATTAGAAGATACCAAGGAAGGCCATGCCGAGCTGGTCTGCTTTTCATGGGCACAGCTCGCAATGTAGTTGTTTTTTCTTCTTCATTGGGGGACTGCTAGCATACAAAGCACCTTTTCCTACACAAAACACGAGACACCAGTCACATGGTAAAACTGTTGAACTGAAATGAGAGACGTC